TCCCCCCCCCCCAAAAAAAAATCTCGCTTTCTTCATTATTCTCCATAAGTCGCTTTCCTCTAGAACTTACAAGTAGAAATTTGCTGCGGTTGTGAGAATCGTTATTTGAGTTACTAATGGACTTATCGCATATTTTTATTCGTTTTATTCTTCTTCCTCGGTGTTTGGCATCTATAATCCTAATCAAAGCAACTGAATGTTTAAGATTATATTTTTGGATTTTTGTATCACCTTTGCTGTGTGTCTGGATTCAACATAGAACTTGTCACCGAAGTGCACCAGTTCCAGTTGCCACGTTCCAAATAGCACACAAAGGTAGACAAGAAGATGAGTGAAGAGAATCAATACAGTCTGACAAGTATAAGAGTGAAACAGAATGGGTAATGGTAGAAAGGAATATGAAGGATTACAGAGACTGAATACATCTGCGCCACTGACAACGATTTTGAGCCATGTCACCTATTGTCTCCAGCCATTGATTCCTAGAGTCCCGAGGGCCCCAACCCGGAAGTCTGCATCTTCCTACTTGACTCAGTTTAACTGTCAAGGATTTCATGGATTGATGAGGCCATGTTTTTGTTTGGCCACCACTTACTCTTTTCCAACCTGCACCTATATCCGCTAGTAATGCCCGTCGGGGGAGGCGATGGTTAGGCAGGCATGTGCACCACGTGACCTAGCCATCTTAGTCTATGTAACTTTATAGCCTCGTCGATTGATTTTCCCTCTTTGCCCAACACTACGCCTAACGTCAACATTACTTACCTTGTGAACCCACCTAACGGGAGAAAGAGATCGCAGACATCTATGATCGAAAGCAGTCAACCTTTTCATGTCTTCAACTCGTCTCTGTTTCCAGAGATTTATGTGGTGATTTTTCAATGTAAGCTTATGTATGTATAATATGTCAACAAACCATTATACTTTAGCTGTGTGTTATTGTTATTATTCCTTTGCTGTACTGTTTCCTGTTGTCTTTGTCTTAGTCTTATTCGCTTTTCGAGTACACTAGTAATCTAGTCTATTTACTTTTGGTAGTCAGTTGCATTAAATATTCAATTTCCAGCTAAGTTGGTCACAGGTTTCAAGTCCACCTCACATACTTCATTTTAGAAATTCATTCAAAATGATTAATTCATCCTTCTGTCTTTTCATAGTATGTTTTAACAGTATCAATAGCAGTCATAATAGGTATGCTGAGAGTTATTTTCGTCCGGCATATATTCATTGCGTTAAGTTCACTTACACACCAGAATGAATTGGATAGTGGGTGTTTCTAAGTAGGGGTAAGAGTTAAAGAAAAAAAAGAGATAAGGACCGAAGCCTCATCACCTTTCACATTGTTAATTAAATATTCAATGTCTTAGATACTAATGTTTTTCAAAGTTGATATCTTTCCTTTACCTTTTCACCTTCAAAATTTAATCTTGGTATCTTTTTTCCTCGTATTCTACAATTTGTATTTGACACCAAGTATGTACATTTTTGATTTGCATATATACACGAATAATATCGGATTATGTTCACTTAACGGACATAAGATCAGGTTGGCAAAGCGCAAGTGGTGGTCAAATCAAAACTTGGGAACAGTCCATAAAGTCTTTGACAATTGTTTGAAACCGCATAAGGAGGTGTAGACTGCCAGGTTAGGGTCCTCGGGATTCAAGGAATCAGTGGCTGGAGACAATTGGTGATATTAGTAAGGAGAACACCAGTAGTTCACATCTGTACAATCGCAAATATATATGGTTATTTTGTATGCGTGTGTACATTAATTTTGTCAAACGAAAATACTGTTTAAAACAATTAGTTCCCTTTATGAATTTAGATAAAGCAATAAGAAGACGTAATTTGTCTGAATCGTGTAATGTGCTTTTGCGCAACACATTTCGAACAATCTGATCACACACGGACTTGTCATAGGAATATATATGAAATTAATACAGTTAGCAAGTTTTGGTCGAGTTACGTAATACTAAATTATTCAGAGCAATTGAATGTTGATATAAGAGGGTAGTAACAAATATGATGAGTTATCGTTAACGATTGTTAAGAGGAGTCACATAATAACATGAATAGTTTGACGAAAGAGTTGTGCTCAGGGTGAACATGGAGACGAAATAAAATACGAAATTACGTAAGATCGTCAACTCTGTTGTCTTAACTTTTGTTTGTTTTTTCTAAGTACTTAAAAGTCTTGTATTCCTTCAAAACTCTTACGTAGTTTCGTATTTTATTTCATTTCCATGTTCACCCTGAGCACAACTCTTTCGTCAAACTATTCATGTTATTACGTAACTCTTCTTAACAATCGTTTATGACCACTCATCACCTTTGTTACTACCCCCCCCCCCTTATATCAACATCCAATTCATCTGAATTTACTAATTGTATTTTCGTTTGACAGAGTTAATGTTCACACACATGCAAAATAACCATATATATTTGCAATTATACAACTGTGAAAATGAATTCGTTGAAAAGAGAATCCTCGCTGACTACTGGTCATCTCTATTAATGTTCGAATGGGGGATTTTTCATGAACTAAAAAATTGGTGATATGACTGAAAATCATTCTCATTGTCCCAGATGCATTCACTCTTCGTGATCTGCCGTACGCCATTAAACCTTGCTGTTTTTTTTCATATTACTATTCTTTTTCCTTCACATTTGTGCAGCTTATTATTGTTTCTTTGAATATCTTTTTTTCTCTCTCTATCTTCTTTTGGTATCCCTATGTGTGGTACGTGGAGTGTGGCAACTTGAACTGCTACAGTTTTGTGCAAAATTCTGTGTTGAAACCAGTCAGCCAATATCGGATGGGATTTGTGTCAAACTAAAAATTTAATGTTTAAAAAAAGTAGTGCAAAGTGAAGAAGTATGAAAGAAAAAAGTTATACATTTGGTTCCCTTGATAAATTTCGATAAAGAAAGGAAGACGACATTTGCAGTATAAAATGAAATCATTCTATTTCACAGGTTCTCATCAGCTGCAGACTACCTGAAATTGCAATGGCTATATAGATGATAACAACATACTTTAATGTTTGAGTGGTGGTAGAGAAGAGATACTATAAAATTGACTCATCTAAGTGAAAGCATTACAATGTTTTTAGTTTAAGTTTTCATCATCAATTTATACGCTTTTAAAGTTGAAAAGAGGGGAGGGGTAAGACAGAAAACAGAAAAAATTGATTAACAGAACAGTGTTAGCTTGCAGGTTCACATAGCAACTCAAGAAACAAAAGCGGTTACAGTTTATGAGATTAAGATTTGTTCAGTGAGTTGAGATCACTGAATTAGATGATTAATCAAAATCAAAATTCTGTTACCAAGGGAGTGGGAGGTTAATCACACCATCTTTCTGTATGCATAAGTCTAGTTTAAGTCGTTTGATTGCGATTGCTTCGGCAAATCGTAGTAAATTTGCTGTTTTTTGTCTATTTAATATTTTGAAGGACTTAAAAATCTCTACGCATGTATGGAGGATTTCACCATGAGCTAACATCAGCCCGAGAACCACTGGAAAACCTGGGAGTACTAAACAGCTATTTCGTCCTAGTTTGGGACTCTTTATCAGTACGCATCCACCGCCAGGGTTAGAACCCAGGACCTTCTGGTTACAAGGAGAGCTCGTATACCATACCATACCACTGGAACCCGATCCAATGGCCCATGAATTCTAACTTCTGCCAGCTCACGACATAGCGCGACCACTTCGCAATGTCATCTTCGACCTGCATGTGTTCCGTGCCCAAGTTTTTATCCAACAGTATCATTATGACTATACAGCGCTTTAAATAAGCCTTCATTGTTTCTTATAAGAAGTGTTACTTTTGATTATTGTTGGTATTTCTGCTCAGCGTTATTATAATCTGATATCTTTTTGTTATCTAAAAAGCATGCAGGATCTATTGAAAGTGATTTAAGCAGTAAATTTCCACTTTCATTCAAGAGACGACTTTACATTCGAATTGTTTGAAAGTGTAAGAAGATGTACTGTTATTAATCAGAGTAAAAAAAGAAGAAAGCTGACTTAATTATGTGATTAAGAATTATTATTATTATTATTATTGTTAGTAGTAGTAGTAGTAGTCAGTCACTTTATTTGTTTATCTTGTCTAGTGTATCGGTGTTAAGATACTTAACTAGGTCATATACACAGAACTTTTAATAGCGTCGTAGACAAGAGGGACTGTGCAGCCACTCACGCACTGTACACATACATGACCTATACATAACTTCGTTGTATTTTACACAAAATGTAGAAAAACTTTTCGACGGGATTAGCTCTTTTTTTCTACGTTGGTATTTTCATATCTTTTTTAAAAAAATATTTTATTTTTAGTTATGTAAGGATGGTGTATGCTTGTGTGTGTGTATGTATGTATGTATGTATGTGTGTACGTATCTGTGGCCTTTATATTTTGTGTACTAGATAAAAAAATATAATAAATAATCTTGCCAAGTATTTATCTTGCTCATTCAGTTATCTCTCTCTGTGTAAGATGCAAACGTTTTCACTAATATCGTTTTGTATTTCTTTCTTCATATTGGACATGCGTATGTGTGTGTGAGAGAGAACGTAATGTCTTTTCAAAACATTTTATCTATTAAAAGTAAAGTACACACCCACATTTATACTTAGTCAAGTGAAAATATCTAATGTTGGTTAGTTAGGAAAAAAAGTATAAATTCGGATGTGTTTTTCTTCTAATTTGACAGTTGTCAGCTGATTATCCTTAATATCATTCGAATCCAGTATCCATTTCTGTGAATGTCCGTGTCATTCAATTGTTCATCTCATTGAATCACAACACTAACTGGTTTATTTCAGTCGATTGCGGAAAACTTTTATTAGTTTAATGCATAGAAACATATTCGTAAAAATGTTCCAAAACGAATGGTGGCTACATCTCTCTAAATAGTAGTATGTTATGATAAATTTTGTAGACCATATTGTATTTCATTACACATATATATTTTTGGTGTTTTGATAGGTCGGCGTGTCTGATTCAACTATTGATTTTTCACATCAAACTACTGATTCATCAGAACGACTACAACAATCAGTAACCACAACAATGCCAATAGTAACAAACAAGTTAGATTCACTTGCACAGATTAGTCCTATGGATATAAATTCAATTTTTCGCAAAGAAAATACTAAATCAAATCGAGATGAAGCTTGTATGAAAGTTTCCTCATCATGTCCAGCTGTTGTACCTGAAGATTTACAACATATGCTAGATAGTACAAGTCCTGTACAATCTGGATCCAGAGCGCCACAGTCTGTGCTTAGTGAAAGCGGTAGCAGTCCTTCAGGCTGTATGAATAATTCCTCCGAAACTGCTGGTATTCCAATGAATCATGGTTCGTCGGGTGTAGGAAATCTGTCATCATCTGCAGGAAATCGAAGTGCAGATGATCAACGAGTGGCTTGGATAAAAGATCGAACGAAGAAGGACAGTCATAACCGAAGTAAGTGTAACCTTCTTGGATGTTTTTTTGTTTGGTAGCTTACAGGCGGTAGTTTCAATGCTCACACGCTGTTATATACCAAATAGCCTAATTATAAAAAACATATAATGGGAATGAGATATCAAAATAAATTAGGTGTTTGTAGGCAGACTAAGACCAAGTATGTGTGGGTATCATGGTGTAGCAAACCGAAACTAGAGTGATGAATGGTTGTATATGCGACTGAAAATGTCTTCATTCCATTCAGCTGGCAGGTTTTTTTCTTGTATGTTATGTATGGAAGGTTTAAGACCTCCTTCATTGGAACTTCTGCATGTCGTCTACTAGTGTGCTAATCCACAATCATTAGGAGGGAGGTATAGATAACTGTTACAACTGTAAATTTCCATTAATAGTCTTTGAGGCATTTTTACTTCGGCTACGGTATCATCATAATGGGACTCCACCCTTTTTTATTTTTGTTGATTCATTTTCTTGAATATTTTTTAAGAGAGGATTGTTCGGTAAATTTCTGTTCGATAGCTACTCTTAATTTCTCTTGCAGTCCCTTCAAATCTGTGCGTCGATGGCCCACTGGTAGGGAATGCTCCCCAGCCATGCACGTGATCTGGTTCAATTCCTGGCCGAGACACTCCTAAACTTCATTTGACCGGTGGGAAGCCTGGTAAAGAGGTAAGGTTGGATGTAAGGCTAGTGACTCTACCTGGTCATAAATACATCTTTGCTATTGAAACGTCAAAGTTCACACTAGAAACCGTATGTTCCACCTGAAACTCAAAGGAATGATGAAAGCGAAATCATACCTTTATTCACTTATTGGCTGTTGTTTCGTTTATTTTACATTTTGGCGTATTTGTTGATTGTTTCCATTGTGTAAAAGTAAAAATCTTTTGTCAAAGAACTTGACGATAAGGATCTGTGGTCTACTCTTCTGCAAAATCTGTAAATTTAATATTATTTAACTCTATAAAAGTATTTAGCCGTATAGATAGTGATAAGGCAAGTGGCTTTAAATTCATGGCCCACTGATCATCATTTGTCTGATAATTAGATCACAATCAATACAGTGGAGTCTATAATATATACAAATTGACAAATATTATAATTGTAATGCTTCGAGTTTAATTCATATATAGTCATCGTTTTCTTTCGATTTTTTTATTCCTCAGTTGAACGTAAACGAAGGGATTATATTAACTGTCAAATAGCTGAACTTGGAAGTTTGTTACCTGAAGACATGTTCAGAGATGGGTGAGAAAATTTTCTACTTATAATTATTCTTATTGTCTTCAACATAGAAAATATGATACGTGTCATGTTTTTTTTCTAAGAACCTAGTGACTTCAACTACGTCAGTGATTAGCGAAACTGTCATATCTCTCTCCAATAGTGTTGCTTTTTTTAAAAATCATATAAATCGTATTGAATCCTTCTGAAGGTTTTTGGTTCTAGTTATTTCACTTTTCAATGGTATATTTATTCTAAATATTTAAAAATGTGATGAAATAAAATGAGGTACACGAAATAAATAGGTGAATGTCTGTCTGTCTGTCTGTTTTCGACATAGAACTTTCCACCGATGTGCACCAGTTCAAGTCGCCACACTCCCTCCTTGTAGCACGCAAAGGAACACAAGAAAGTAGAAGAAATGCATATTAGAGACAGTAAACAGAGGTGTGAGACATAGGAATAGTAATAACGAAGAACAATATAGTTTCATTGGAAATCATAAGTCACAAGGAGTGGATGCATCTGCTCCAAGCCATTGAGAACGATTTTGAGCTAGCCATATCACCAACTGTTTCCAACCATTGGTTTTTACCGTCCCAAGGACCCCAATCAGGAAGCCAGTCTACACCTTCCTACGTGGCTTAGACTAACTGTTGTGGATTTCATTGACTGGTGATGCCATGTTTTTGTTTGACCGCCGCTAACTCTTTTCCAGCCTGACCCTATGTCAGATAACATTGCCCATTGTCGAGGAAGGCGATGATTAGGCGTGCATACGTAACACATGTCCTAACCATCCCATTCGATGTAACTTCACAACCTCGTCGATTGATTTCCCCTCCTTACCTAGAACTCGACAGAAGCCTAACCTCAATATTACTCACCTTATTATATCATTTCACACGGGAGATAGAGCACAGACACTTATGATCGAAGGCAGCTAGTCTTTTCATGTCTTCCACTTTCAATGGCAATCTCTCACTGGCAGCCATAAAGGGGGACGGAGCGGACTGCTGAGCACAACATCCGCCCTTTAGTCGATAGTCGGATATCACGTCTACTCCAGAGACGGCGTAAACTGGCATATGCGAAACTAGCGCTATGTATCCGTGTTGAGATTTCGTCAGCGATCAACCCGTTGGCGTTGACTCATGCAACTTCCCAAATAAGTGAAGCGGTCAACGTGCTCTACCACTTAGGTGAATTTGAAACACTTTTGTGTTTAAGACGTAAAACTAAAGTACAAGCGAATGCATTTACATCTATTTTTATCGTTTCTATCGATAAAGTGTCGTAATGATCCTTGACCGTCTCTTGTTGTAACTGAATGCATTAACGGATTAGTTTTGCCATTTTCTGTCTTTCTAAGATCTCTTTCAGTTGGCTTTTCTAGCTCTCATCTCACTACAAAATGATCTAAGGAATTCAATCATTACACATATGTAGGTCTTTGACTCATTTTTTTTTAAATTCGTGACTTTCAAATCTTGAATCCTTAGTTCAAATATGTAAAAATGTTTGTAGGGTACAGGTCAGTGTTTGTATTTCTTGACTGTCCTCAAAAGTATTCTACATTCGGTCATAGGAGTTATTAAGAAGACAGTTGCAGCGAAGAAAATTTTCTTTTCGATTAAGTCATCATCTAGGCTGTACATTCGTGTATTTATATCAAATGGATGGGAAAGTTCTAGAATACTTTCCGGTCAAGGGTAAAATTAATAAAATTACAATTAGAAATTAAAATGCCATAATAAACAGGGGGATGGATAAAACAAACAAAGTAGCATCATGATAGCTAAGAAGATTGACATTGTGCAATTAGGGGTTAAAAATGCAGAAATAACAAAATAGACAGGATGTTTGGATAAGAAACTAATGTGATGAGTAATTGTTTATGCAATCAGGGATTAAATATGTAGAAATAGTAAAATGACAAAATGGACACGAAGTTCGGATATGAAACTATGCCGGTGTAAACAGGGATTAAAAAAAACTTAAAATAACATGAATAAACACGAAGTTTAGATAAGAAAGCCGATGGGATGGTCATTACTAAAAAATTACCTGTTTATGATGGCCATGGCAGGGAAAGGGGTTGGACGTATTTCTTTTGGATACAAAGCGTTGGTTTGAGTTTTTGGATAGCTAGCGCCTTGGCTATGCTCAGATGTCTTGATTTCACTCCCTTTGATAGGTTTGATTGAATCTTGTATATTACTTTGAAGGGTTTTTCGAAAGGCGCTGATTGTCCTGAATTGACCAAATGTTCTGTCACTGAATTATATACACGCTGTTGATCTCCTTTTACTAACCAGACTGGGTAGTGTTCACGAGCGCGTTTTTGAAGTCGGCGCATGGTACGGTCGATGTACTTAGCTCCACAGCTTGTCTTTCGCGTTCTGGCTGAACAGTTTCTTGTAGGAAAACGTCAGTCGTAGGCTCGCGGCGAAGTATGTTTTCCTCAGCGATTTGGAGAGGCGTTTACGAAGGATTTCTGCTTCAATATCACTTTTGAATTCTAGATTAAGCATAAGTATTTTCTTTGGAACGGATTGAACTTGTTCGGAAGTCTTCTTAGATTTGAGATTCTACATTGCAATAGGAGACTTTGCAAGAAAAATGAGCTGCTTGTTTGAATGCCTTCAAGAGGTGTATACGTCTTTGAAGCTATTGCCACATTTTAGATACATGATTGTAAGTGCCAGAGAGAACCTTCTATCTGTGAAGGTTAAGGTATATCATACTTCAATGTGAATAAATGTATTTCAGCATTCAAGTGAAGGCTTTTTGTGGACCAAACAGTCCCATGCTGTGTTTGAAATTTGACCGCTTAATTCTTTGAATTATATCTTTGAAATAATATTGTTATTATATTTTTTATTTTAAAAATGCGGGATTAGAATTTTAAATTTTGTCTTCGCTATTTATATTTTCCTGTCTCTCTTATAGTGATGGTAAAAAGAACAAAGGTAATATTTTAAAGAATTCTGTGGAATTTATTTGTTTGTTGCGGTCAGAATTGGCACAAATACCTGAGGTTCGTCGAGAGACAAGTTTAGCTGCAAAAGTTATCGGCCAGTTAGTTAAACGTATTCAGGTAATGCTAATAGAAATTTTATTTGTCTAGTTCTTAACCATCACGTGTAACCAAACATTTGTTTTTCTATGATTCTTGATTTACCAAAGCACGAAATAACATTTTGCTGTTCTTTGTTTTTCCATAACTTGTTGAAAGGCTATTTATTGTTTTGCACAAGTAGTATCAATGCATTAAGTGTGAGGTTCTCATATCGGTTAGTTAGTAACTAGTGTATAGTGTGTCTAGTTTTTCGTTTGGCGCACACTGAATTATATCACAGTCAAGTTTGCAATGTGGTGTCACCATTCTAGGTGGCTTGCCATCACAGTGCACCTTAAGTCAGGTAGTCAGTTTCACTTTCAGACGTAAACGTGACCTACAACAACTAGTTAGCTCACTATCTTTTTTAATTTTTGATTAACAGCTTGATTCCACACTGTATTTTTGGTACAAGTATGGAATTTTCAGCATGGATATCGGTAGCCCAAATTTTGCAGGCCGACCATAGATATCAGGTGTGCGCCGGCGTGGGCTCGAACCCCGGACCATATGCATGGTCGGCGAGAGTCCTAACCACTGTGCCACCGACGCAGCAGAGGTTGAAAATACATCTAATGTCAAGTACCTTGGGCTGAGTTTTTCCACCAATCTTTCCTGGTCCTCCCACATCTTGCTAGTTACCAGAAAGATGTTTCGCTTAACGTTCTATGTTAGGAAGTTTAGGCAGTCTGGCATAAAGCAGTCTTTGCTTTCTCAGTTGGTCAATTCTTGTATTCTACCCATCCTCCTTCACTGCTCCCCATTAATCTTTCCTGGACTACTTAAGAAAGACTTTTCTTTGCTGAGGCCAGGCGCTATAAGCCGTTGGTAGGGCAAATGGGATATCGTTGAACCAACTGGTTAACACTACTGTGGATAGACATATAATGAATGTCATGTAAGAAACTAGCGAATACAATATTGTCAGACCCCGAGAATCCCAATAATATGCAGCTCTCTTCTTACATTTCATCTGGTAGAACTAGAAGCAGCTATAGGAAGTTATATGGTAGGACTACCAAGTACAAAAACTCCACAATACCATATCTGGCACAGCTCTTATGTGATGAGAAATCCGTTAGGTATGAGACGATAAACTTACTGTGGCACTCCAACAAATAATCCCATTAGTTTTTGTTTTCCTTTCCTCGTTACTATTACACTGTTGTTCACATCTTCTATTACACACTAATTTTATATTTCATATCCTGTGGTGCATTGTTTAAAATGTAAACGCTATGCTGTTTTTTTATTTATCTTTTATTTATTATTTTTTGGCGTTGTTTTTTTACTTTTTATTTATTTATTTATTTTAAAAATCTTATAAAATTTATGAGGTAATTAGATGCAATATATTGTAATGCACGCTGAAAATTCCATACCTGTACCACAAATACTGTTTGGAATAAAGCTGTTAATATTATTATTATTATTAAAGTCGTTGATATCAAATGGTTGAACGAAACCTAGGTCCAAGACTTCCTGTCGGTCGCCTGCAACCACCTAATACAAACTACTTTATTTGAATAGTGCTGTGTAAGGTGTTTTAATGTCAACTCATTACATTTAGGTCTTAGGCAATTGTACCATCCTCATTACTTTAAAATATGTAGCTTGTGAGGCATGCATTTAATTTGGTATTTTTCTTCCACTGTAATCATAACAATTTCGAGTAGTTTTCAATGTTATATAAGGCCTTAAATATAGCACACTTGGCATACTTTTAAATTATATAGAGTGAAGTATTTTTGTAAGGTGTGGTTTTGACATTCAGTTAGGATGTTCGTTATTACTGTCATCAATGTAAGTTGTTCCTCTGTCGTTGTGTTCACCAACTTATTTTTATACTGCGAATGGGATATATACATTTCCTTGGATAGTTCATTTAGTTAAATCCTGTTAACTAAATACATAAGTCATTAAGTTATGGTTCCCTGTGACGTACTGACCCTCCTAATACTGGTCCATACTTTCCCAACATTTCGATTGATAAATGATGTGCTCCTGTAGGGACTTTGCTTACTGAGAATTTAGTCATCAGAGAGTGTTTCAGCAAATGGATTCCAGTTAGCCATTACAAATTCCTAGTCCACCGTTTTTTTGAGCAGTTACAAATAGTGATAGCGATGATGTGTTGTAGTACTTATTTTGTGTCACGCAGGGTCACCTAATGTGTATAATTATGTGTCATTGTGTACATATTATTAAATTCCAATCAAAGGAATACTTCTTAGCCTTTAATAGATAACTTTTGGCAATTTACTCTTCCTAATAGTTTAGTGCCTTTGATTATTACACTTTACTTATTGTGATGAAAGCTATTCACATGTGCAGTGAACTCGTAAGATTATGTAATCCATGTATATTATACCTAGCACAATGCATACGTGCTTTTCTTCCCGAAAAATAAACATTGAATAACTATCCTATAAAATTCATTAGGAAGATCAGTAAAAATCAAAAACTAAGTAAAAATAATTATGGAACTAGTAATGATAACATAAATAAGAGAGAATATAAGTCATTCACAGTTATACCATATAAAGAGGGGACATCTGAGACCCTACGTAGGATTCTAAATAAAGCAGGAATTAGGGTGGCATTTAACACTACAAACTCACTCAGGGACAAGCTCTGTAGGTTAAAGGACCCAGTTGACCCAATTAGACAAAATAATATGATTTACAAAATACCCTTCAATGACTGTGAGGTCAAGCTAGTAGGTCAGGGATAGTCAGATTGTCAGAATATAAGAATTTAGCTAGGGAAGAATGGTTGATCCTGAAAAGATAAGTAATTTAGCAAAAAGCTCAGCTATTGCACTTCACGCGTTAACACACAACCACACAATAGGGTGAGAGAAGGTTAAAATTCTAAAAAGTAACTAGGTAGTTGGAGAGAGAGAGATTGATTACTGAATCCTTGTTCATCGAGTCTACACCCAACACATGCAACAGAAATGACTTAATGCAAATACCAGAAATATGGAAGATATTATTACCGCAGGTCAAATCAGAAGAGGATATTAAATAATCTTAAAATTCTATTTCAATTCAAACACATCACAACATTCTAACAAGTAACTTATTATGACTAAAAACACTCGTATTTCCCATATTATAATTGTAATGGATCAATAGCACTCGTACTATTATTTCTGAATGTACATTATCTAATCGATTCCACACATGTATATAGATGAAAGAAAAAAGTTGTGTGAGTAATTTGATATGATTATGAGTGGCAATAGTTTGTGCTCGAAACGTCATCAGTTAATATTACTGTACAACACTGTGTGTGATTTATCAAAATAAAATCTTCTCCATAACGGAGTTATGCTCTACCACCACAGTGCCCAAGTTTTATACTTATATCAAAAAATAAAATAATCATAATACAGTTATGATAGTCCTCTCTCTATCTTATTAATACATATATGCATACAATTAAAATCATTTACTGATCTTTACTTATTCATTGTAGACTAGAGCCTCGAGAGGTTATGTACATTTCTATGACTACCTTTTGTTCTTGTTGTGCTCTCGTATATGAAAGAAGGCTATAACTTTCCACCTTGATGTCTTTGTTTGCATTATTTATTCGCTTCCTCTCTCTCTCGCGCGCACGCACGCTCTTTTGTATCTATCTTTGTGTCTCTGTTTTTTGCATTTATGTTTTTTCAGTAAATCTCTTTGTTTCTTGGTTTTTTTTTATTCTGTTACCTTCTTCTTTCATTTGCTTTTTGATTGAATAGAAATAATAATTAATTGATGCTTCTATTTTTTGGGGGGGGGCAATAAAAAATCTTCCTATCAAAGACTCTCTAGTCACTTTGTAATATTCTCAGACTTATTGATGTTGTTTATTAGATTAAGGACGCTTGATTTTCTGAAGTTCACTTTTCACACTTCATTTCACTTTCATGATCAGTACTGTTTACAAGAATCGCAAATCTATTTTTTGTCGTCTAGCTTCCTAACTTTCACACAGACATTATTTATAGTTCATGACTTTTTCTGAGGAATTCGAGATCTTCAAGTATTGGTTTTGTAGGGATTTTGTTTGACTGCATGGAAGATTTCACCATGAGCTGACATCAGTTAGAGCTGAAGATGAGGCAGTAACTCATCGAAGAAGACATTGCGAAGTGGTCGCGCTATGTCGTGAATTGGCAAAAGTTATAATTCAAGGACCATTGGATCGGGTCCCAGTGGCTCAATGGTCTACGAGCTCGCCTTGTAACCAGAAGGTCCTGGTTTCGAACCCTGGCAGTGAGTGCGTACTATTGAAGAGTCCCAAGCTAGGACGAAACAGCTGTCCAGTAGTCTCAGGTTTTCCAGTGGTTCTCTAACTGATGTCAGCTCATAGTGAAATCCTCTATGAATTCGAGATCGTTGTTCAACTGAACATTTAAACACTATCCAGTTGTTGTTGTTTTTTTTTCACTTGAGCATAAATTCAGCGTCATCTACTTTTCTTGTTATTCTTTAGGAGTTAGAATCAATTACCAATATGAGCTCAAGCCAACAGCATAACAGTAGAAGTAATTCTGATTATCAAAGTTTATTACAAGAATGGGTTATGTTACATGAAAATAATCTACAAAATTCAATGTCAATAGGTACAAATAGTTCACCTGTTACCAGGCACTCATTTCCACAGACAGATACAGCTGGAAGCTCTTCACCAGGTTTATCATCTGTCGGTACAGAAGAAATGATTAACAGTGATACAAAAGTGGCTTTTTCAAGTTAGTTTTATTATTATTATTGCTATCATAACTGTTGAATATAACTCTTGTGGTTGTGTTTATCATTGTATCAGTATCAAATTTAGGTGATGAACTGGTGATATTTCGACAACTTTGAATGTTTTACAATCGATATTTGTTTTTACCACAAAGTTGAAATCAGTAAATCAGTCAGTTTATGTTTACCGTAGACATGGTGACACTCTAGGCTATTTTAAAGAAATGAGAATCCATTTCTCTTAAAGTTATTACAGTTTCTTGTATCACAGAGTAGAAAGACATTCAACGCATAATAACACGATGTCTAAAATGCGTCAGTTAGATAAGATTAATGAATTTGTTTTATTACTGTCTGTGTAATATATGTAATAGTTTTACAGTCTTTCATATTAACTCATCATTATCTGCTGGTCTAGTAATGAATTAGGAAACATCTGTGTTGTTATGGGGTTTAACTTCAGTGACTATGTGCAGTTCTAGTATACTGCAATCAAATCTTAATGTGTATGGTCTCTTTTTCAAGTGGATGGTTTTGTTGAGATGTGGCTCAATAAGTATTCATCCTATTTATCCCGGGTTCGAGTCCTGCTCCATTTACTTCAACCTGGATAACTGGATAGTAAGTACCATCAGTCTTCAAACAGTAACTGTGCCTCGTTGCCTGTTACATGGAAAATGTCCTCTGTATAACTGATTTCTGACTAACAAGCAATATAGATTTAATTATTTATTTACATATGAGTAACTATGGTAGCTAAAGTTGTAGAAAAGGTGAAGTTATCGTAAAATAAATGAATTATACATAATTATGAGTCATTCTCTACCAATGATTACTGACAATAACTACTCACTTGTAGAATGGTTGATGTTGTTGTGATGCTATCTGAGTTATTATTTATGTGTATACATTTCCCTTGTTACTGTGATGTCTTGGTTCTTTAAAACAGTTGATGCGTGCAAAAATATATTTCTCAGAGTAGGGTGTCTTGTTGTTGCTCACTCACAGTAGATTTTATGCCCTGTTGCTTACCTTGTGTCTACGATAAGCATGACTAGCTGTGAAAAATGACAGCTAGTAATATATATATATATATATATATATATATATTAATGTTAACTTATCATTGTTAGCTGCACAGCATACCAGTTAATATGACGTGATAAATTAGACCTGCGGTTGCAGAACCTAGTTAGCGTAGGCTAGAATCGATTGCAGTGCATTACAGGTGCTCTTATTAAGATCATGACGCCAACTTTCTGTATTTATCCCCCACCCTCCTATTTTAATTGTAAGTCTGGAATTCTACATTGATCTATGTTATGCTTTCATAACAATCTTTACTTGGTATGCAAATATGAGGTAGGTATGGTAGCCTAATTGATTAATTGCGTAATTATGCCAAATTCTATGTGAATATTATTCTTGTTACTATATCAGACTGATGTTATCGTCCTGAAAAGTAAACATTTTCATTCTCATTTAACATACATACATTATCATTTTCAAAATAAGTCAAAGATTTAGATTCTGTGGTGTAAATAAAAAAATCTCAGAATTTAAAGTCAGTCAGAATATTGTTATTTTCATTGTATTTTTTTTAAAGAGTGAACCTTTGTTGATGTCTTTGTGCTGAACACATTCCAAGAGTTTATAGATAGCGGTGTAGGCGTTGAATCCCCACTCTATTTGCATTTTATTTATTTATTATCACAGTTAGACAGCTTTATCAACTTTTCAGGAAAAAAGAAGCTAAATCTAGTTGCGTAAACGTTTATATTTTGTATTCCCTTCTTATGTTAACAGCATATATTTTTGGTCGAGTAGAAAAATTTTTTTCTCACTGATTTTTTACCCTACTATGTTGTGACGAAGTCTACTATATTTTTCTCTCAAAGTAACCTACGAGAATATCTCATTATTATTCATTATGTGTTGCTACCTATATTACAAATTATGGCTTTCGTGTTCTCTTAAAAATAATTCATCTTTGTAAGGAGAGGCAGACGGAACAGCACGTGGGCGGGAGAGGTTGGGGGAAGTCAGACTTTTAAGCTAAAATTTCTCTAAAAATGTTATTGTTAAAATTTCTGTCTAGTGGTGGCTACATGTATCATGTATCATTATTTAACTGTAATAAATAATTACACGCCTCAAAGTAAAGTTGTGATAATGATACGCGTAATGCGCGTAATGGTTGTTTTTCACACACACACATTGAAAAAGTTTTCAATGCTGTTTATATTTCGAGGAAAATTACAGCCCGTGATCACTTTTATAAACGTCGGAATATTTTTTTATTCACATGCTTATGTGAGAATAGCTTCTGTATTTTGTGTATATTTAGTCGTTTTTCTAGTCAAAATTACGTTTCATAATATTAACAGTTATATTGAGTCAGTCACCTTTGTTGCATGTGCTTTTTTACAAGGTGGGGGCATATGATGATTGTTATATTTATAAATGTGTGAATAATAAAATTCCAGCAATTTTTGGTCCGATATAATCAATAATAATGATAATAATAAAGCTTTATTTCAGGCAGTATGCAAACATATGGTACAAAGAATTTCAGCGTATTTACTTTCAAAATACCTTTTTCCTCATACAGGACTTACGTGTAAAATAATAATGTGCATTGCATTGAAGAATTGCACATCGTTTATTTGGAAGCAAGTTAGATCAGCTTTCAAGTTCATGTATAGGTCATCTGATATACCTGGACGATTAACACAATGATAAATCCAGATGAAATTAAACATTTTCGTGGAAAGTAATTTCGGTAGCCCTGTGATTCACGCAAGCCGACTAATAACGGAAAATACAAATAAACTGAATCAAATAGTTTATATAATAAATTAATATGTGATTGATGATCTCAAGTGAAATAAAGATCTTGGCGTCGGCGGCAGAGTGGCTAGGAGTCTCGCCGACCATGCACATGGTCCGAGGTTCCATCCCCTGCCGACTCACGTGACATCTATGGTCGGCCTGCAAAATTTGGGCTACCGATATCCATTCTGAAAATTCCATACATGTACCATAAATACAGTGTGGAATCAAGCTGTAATAAAAAAATAGGATTTGAACCAGAAACCTGAGAAATTATACACCTGGTTCTCAACTAGCCGAGCTATGATACTTAATTGTTAACTAGGACATCGCTTTACTATAGTCACTAAGAGTAACCATTAGATGTTATATGAATGAATGGATGAGTGATACCTTAGTGTCCGTTAATCATCATGCTAGCTACCCATTAAATTGATAATAGTCTGCTAACTGAAAACTATTTCAGATAGTGTTTCACTATAAATTACAATAAATTAATGCACTCCACAATGCACAAACTTTTCATAGACAGTAATTATGGGGTATATGTGAACTGCATTTATATGTTCGCACTGCAAATAGGTAGGTGCGTTGTATTGTAACAGCAGAAAGCAAGACACGGAAGCAAAGGTATTCTGTCGCTGATACAGTACTGAACTGTTGGAATATGTGAGAATAATATTCCGTCGGGATACATCACCACAGTATTTTTCTAATCAGGTCTAATCTATTCGGGTATAAATCATAATCTCATTCATTATAAAAGTGCACTAAATTGTTGAGTATTCTATCCAGTTTTGTTCACAACAGCACCGAGCAAGAACTTCTCCAGTCATCCATCATATCATGATTTCTCTTAAAAAGGAAGTAGACAGAGATAACGAAATTATGAATACTAGTGATTTTTTATGTTAATGCTTAAATGTACTTAGCGTACGAATTTAATTTAGAAAATAATTATAATTGTTGTTAGCCAGTAAACGATAATTCGCATAGATTAAAGTTAATCGCTGATAACGTAGTCTTCATTTTTCTTCTCTCATTGTAAGCAGTTGAATCCTGCTGACTATGGTAGGTGTGAAAAATAACTCAACAAGAATACATTTAGTATATGCGACTGGCTTTATCCTCTCTATTCATGTGTGTGTCGGTGGCACAGTGGTTAGGACTCTAGCCGACTATGCACATGGTCCGGGGTTCGATCCCCTGCCGACGCACCCGGTATCAATGGTCGGCCTGCAAAATTTGGGCTACCGATATCACATGCTGAAAATTCCATACTTCTACCAAAAAGTACTGAGTGGAATCAAGCTGTAATCAAAAATAAAAAAATGTCAAACATATTTTTCATTCTGGTTACACATAAGTCTACACATTTACAAAAATAGGCAGTTTTCATGTGCCTTTTTGGGTCATAAATTTTAGGGTATTATGGCCAAGTAAACTACATACTGTGATCATTTTTGTAAGTATCCTATTGCTTATACTGTGATTCCTCTCTTATCTAGTTTATTTCTCTCAGTTATAGGAAAAGTCTTTTCATGTCATGTTTTCTGGTCTAACTTTATATAATTACCTCTGTCACCTGTTGTATATGTCTAGAATGAAAAGCGTGCATGTGTATTGTTCTTCTCTGAGCATCTGATTTGATAACCAAGTCAATCACAAGTATATGAAGAAGTCAGTTGTCAGGATTGTATTTGCTTCTATTCATCAGAAAGATGTATCTACGATTTTGATAAAATGTATGCTTCCTTCAGGAATCTGAGTTGGTGACATCTACACTGAACTATTAAAAACCGCTGTCGGTACTCTACAGGACTGATTAATACACATAGAACGATCTTAAATATTGTGTAACAGTGATTAAGTTCATTTTTAGTATAGTTTTACACTTGTTTACTTATAACGATTCGTTCCAATGAATATAAACTGTTCACCTAGTGTATAACAATGTTTGGAGAGGTGTATATGTTAATGTCAGTAAATAAAAAAAAACAATTCCAACAGTTGTTGTGACCTCACCGGGAGTAATTTTGCTCGAAATATTAGCAAAATACAATGGCGGGTAACGGGGAATCAGGGTTCGATTCCGGAGAGGGAGTCTGAGAAATAGCTACCACATCCAAGAACGGTAGCAGGCTCGAAAATTACCCACTCCCAGCACGGG